TTTAACACCCGAAATTGTCATAGATTCTCTTATGAGTAAGGAGATAGAGATTAAGTCTGAAAAATAAAATAAAAGAAGTAGTGAGTTGCATATGATGATGAGTAGAATGAACTTTAAACAAATGAATTTGGGTAAAACTCAAGAAATAGTGATTCGAATAGTGACTCAAGTGATGAGGGTAGTAAGAATAAGTGCAAGAGATGGGACAAGTTTAATAGTAGACGGTGTTATAATTGTGGTAAGGTTGTGCGCTTCATAAGGGATCGTCTCAAAAAGAAAGATAAGTAGAAGGGTAAGATGAGAGACGATGTGAATATGGCTATATGGTCGAGTGATGGCCCTAGTGAGGTTTATTGAAAGTAAACCTACTTACTTCATGTACATCTATGTGTAATCCTTTCTGCATTTGTGATTGCTTAATTCTGTTGCATGGATATATGTGCATTTCAATGTGTTTGATATGTGCCTTTTCATGAATTTGAGAGCAATTTAATCACTTCGTGTAATTGTTTGCATGCGTAGTGGGTTAAGATGCATTAACAATGTGTTGTATGTCTATTGGTAATGTGGAGTATAGATGCCTATGGTACATTTGTGGTTTGTACCAAGGATGTGGAGTGTTTCATTTGGATCACGAGTGGAGATGTAGTTAAATGTTGGAATCATTTATCTGTGAAGAGACACTAATCATGTGAAGTGTGAGAGAGACACTTCTATCACTTCTGTTAAGTGAAGACCCATTATCTATTTATGTTGGGAGAAGTAGTTTGATGATAATGATTATCCCTAAGATTTAGGATCTATAGAAATTTACCAATTAAACATGGGTTGAGTGATCAGTCTAGTAAGCATGGGGGTGATGAGATGAGATATGTGTTCTCGAGGTGTCGCGACTTGGAATGGGATATGATAAGTGCGATGAGATTTTTTTATGGGGTCTTTTATGCATTTGTTACATATGTGTTTTGACCATTTGATTGATTGACTTAGTGTTAAACTATTGTTTGTTTGAACGTATTTTAAAAAAGATCTGTGGATTATCCTATGTTATATTTTCATCGCATGATTATTTGCTCTTAATTATCTACTTCTACTTGGGTGTTTTTTTTTTACCTTAGCCCTGGTGAGTACATGTAGCAGGCATGGTATGCGTTTCGGGTTCGAAACACGAGGTAAGGTCTCTAATTCCAATTTTATTGGTATCCTTGATTATGCAAGCATAAACCTTGTATTTTGGTTGCTTGCATGTTGATTGGGTATCAAGGTGGAGATTTAATAGGTTTTGATACCCAATAAATTTAGGGTAATAACGTTAAACAATTTGAATTATATTTCATAGGTCTCAACCAATGAGTGAAATAACTATCACACAATCAATTTATAGGCTCAACCCGAAAACAACTTTGGTCATTGGAAGCAACTTAATTAGTTAATGTTGCTCATGATCACTATAACTCTTGGATGATTATTTTAATCTGTTGGCCCAATTATCTTAGTGTTGACCTATTTGTTGGATAATATTGGCCTAAGTCAAGGTAATCTAAACTAACCTACATATACACACATTTTCATAGTGTTGGAAATGTGTGTGCTTTGTGAATATATTAGAGAGAAACTGTGGCTGCTTCCCGTCTCCTTCATGCCTTTGCCTTATCTCTACGTTTGTGGCCTTTTGCAAACACCACCATACTTGTGTTCTTTGTGGGTATATTAGAAGTGGCAACCAAAGTGAAAGGAGTAGTTGTAGGTTGAAGTCAATTGATTGTGGTTTGATATTGCTCGGTTTCCACAAATTGAAGGTTCATTTCTCCACATGGACTTTTTGTTCGGGTACCTATATTGATTTGAATGCATAAATTATATTTAGGTGATTATAAGTTGTGCATCCTAGTAATAATTATGAGTTGTATGAAATATTTGAATGAAATGTGTGTTTGATAAAAGATAATTATAATATAATAATCTACCCAACATGCACCAAAATAACCGCCCTTGTGTAATACATTCGGCTCCAATTCATCTAAGTCTTGTCCTCAATTGACCACCTAGTCACCACTTGTATCCTAAACATTAATCTTCACGTCTAGTCCAATCCCTCTATCAGAAGTTAGTTGAACAAATTTTAAAATCTTTAAGCAAAACCATATACGACAGCGTTTTGTTATCTAAAATTTACTTCTCAGAATTGGTATTTACATAAACTTCATACAAATGTAAGGAATTCGTTTGTGGAAATGATTTAATTCCCATCATCCGAATGCAACGTGGGAGTAAAATATGGTAGCAATTAGCACCCACACAATCCCTAGCGGACTTGAAGCTACATTAAGACAAATAAGACACTCTCCACAGCTCATAAAACAAAAGAAATGGTAAATATACACCATGTTTGCTAAGCTTAAAAAAATTACTTACAAAGAAAAAAGTTTTAAAATAACTAACTATTTTGATTGAAGAAAGTTAAGCTAAGGGTCCGTTTGATAGGCAAAAATGAAAAAAAAATTTCAATTTCATATTAGTTGGGAAATAAAAACTCATCAAATCCATAAAAATTCGTTTTCCTTGAAAAAAAAATTCAATTTAAAGTGAAACCTTGGATTTTGATTTTCATTCCACGTTGTAATCAAATGGCCAAAGTGAAATTCGTTTTCCTCGAATGTGATATTTTTCATAGAAAATAGGACAATCAAACAGGGCCTAAGTGTTACACTAGAAATAAAATAAGAATAATAATAATAAAAAAATTAAGTATCTAAACATTTTGAGAACTACGCCGCAAGTGTCATTCAATCTTCTAAAATGGATGAAAATTATTCAGAAAATCAAATAAAGGAAATTATTTAAATTTGTTGCTGTCACTAATATCCATAAATGAAATTATTAAATCCTTGTTTGAAAATGATTATTTGAAAATTACCTTTTTCATACTCGTTTTCAAATGTATATTCTTAAAAAAAAAAAAAAAAAAAAAAAATTCACTTTTCACATTTTTGAAAATTTTCCTATATTTTTGAATATTTCCAAAAAACACTTTTTAAATAATCAATTTTTCATAAGCACTAAATTCATTAAATCGCATTCAAAATTCAGTTAACTTATTATTATTATTATTATTATTATTATTATTATTATCTGTTTGGAGCCCCATCGGCTTAAAACTGAACACATTTTGGACGTAGTCTGAAAACGACATAAAACCATATAGAAAGACCAAAAGCATCACACAACTGACCAAACTAATCCTTACAATTCACAAAAAATCATCCTATGACTTTTCTTAGATATAAATTCTAAATACACTCATGAGTTGTTCAGTAAAACAACTGTAGACGATAAAAAAATTAATTAAAATTTTGTATATTGTACTATTTTCGTATATTGTTTCATTAGTGAGTGGTTGAAAAATAGACATCAAACAGTCGTTAATTTATGAAGAATATAAAAAAATTTGACACGTAAGTGAGAACGTTAAATTATTTTTGACATTAAATCTCATCTTTTTGGAAGATCTTATTTATATAATGAAATAAAAGCACATTCTTTAAGGATATTTCAAAATACCGTAAGAAAAATAAAAATCTAAAATTAAAAAATAAAGAAAAACCTTAATTAAAAAAATTCTAAAATTATCATGTAATATAAAACGATTTTGCTAAATGTACAGCCCCCCTTCATAGTGAGTTTCACAGTCCTCTCACACGTGGGTGAGGCCCACAATGTGTGGGCTCCACCTCCATGTGAGTGGACTGTGAAGGAGGCTGTAAAGGGGACTATAAGTGTAGCATTGTTCAATATAAAATTCTAAAACTGTTAAAAATTAATTTGATAACTTCATCACCCGCGGTTTGGGATGATCCACCAAACAAGCCATGATTTGCATCCCGGTTTGAGTCCTATTATTTAAAAATTCTTTTTAATAAATTAATTTGCACATAAATTCAAAAAATTTCCTGCTTTCTAAACAAACAATTTTCAAAATATCACTCTTACAAATCTTATTCAAGGTGTGTTTGAGTCACATTATTTTGGAAGAATGCATTTTGGAATAACAAATTGATGGAGAATGTGTTTTTTAAAAAGAAGGAAAAATTATTGATGTGATGAAAAATATTATTTTATTAAAGAATACTTAGTTGAAATGAGTAGAAGAATAAAAATGAAAATTTTAATGTGGCTTAAACATGACATCAATACGAAAAATGGGGTTACTAAGATATACGGTGTCTTTGTCACGTGTTAGCGTGTTAAGGCACTGATTTACGTTTACCCAAATATGAGCATGATGCATGTGGACATGGGGTCATATCACTGCCTTCCTAGAACCTATTGACTGCTGACTTTTAGCTCATTTTGCTTACAATCATTTTCATAATTCATTACAATGGCCGTTTGTGACTCATGGTTGAAAGAGGAAGAGAGGAATCTTTGGGATTGTACATTAGCATTTCTAAAGGGTTCCACGGATTTCAGCACTTGGAAGACCTAAAAAATATCTTGTATGTATAGTTCTGACTCTATTTTGTTTGAAATTGTACATATTATATTCTCTTTAGGATGTTTGATTACATTTATTTTTTCCTGGGTTGCAAGATTTCTTGCTTAGAAGCTACATCTTAATGCTTATTTTTCTGGGTTTTTAAAATTTCTGGGTTTGAAGTTTGAGAAATATCTAAAAAAGGTTAATTTCAGTTTTGTATCTGGAAAAAAGAACATGGTGTCACAGTCAGTTCAGTTTCTTGAAATTGGGCAATGATGGAGGTAATGATTTAATATTTTTTTCTCAGGGCTTACATAGAATGAATAAAAGATGAAGGAATATGGTTTAATCCTTAAAACCCACCAAGAAATAAGTGGGAAGAACCTTTTTCTGGTTATTCCCATTATGTTTTTTTTTTTTTGCTTTTCTTCATTGCTTTCTTTGGAATTCTCGTGTGCGTCCATCTAACATAAAATTTAAATTTTATGCAGATAATCTGACTATTAAAAAAAGGGGCAGAGTAATGGAAGGATTGCCCCCTCCAACATCTTCAATTGTTGCAGTAGCTATAACAGGAAATCGAAAAAGCAAGCACATAGTCAAATGGGCACTAGAGAACCTTGTTCCAGAAGGGGAGGTTTGCTTCAACTTGCTACATGTTCGACCCGTGATAACTAGAATTCCTACACCTAGTAAGTTGTTCTTGTGCACGATTGGCATACAGTTTGGAGAAGCATAAAATTACACCAAACGAAAAAGGATTTGCTCGATTAATATTGTGCACTTTTGGTATAGAGTAGTGTATAATCTACCTTACCAAACATGCCAATAACGTGTAGCTCACAATGGAATGGGATTCAAAGTGTCTCATACTCTCTGTAATTCTTGGATTACTGAATGGTGTTTGCCTGTGAGGATTGCTATTGCTGCTTTCCTATATAACATTGCTAGGACCTCCGGGTATAGAAACAGAATTAATTGATTTGCCTTTGTTGGACAGATAAAGTTCTGGTAGTAATTCCAGGATAATATTAAAAAGGGGATTTGTAGTTCTATTTTAATATCTGCATTTCTATTTGCTTTACAAGTATAGCCCAAAACAATAACTCTCACTAAAAGTAAGAAATCCACCAAAAAGTAGAACATGAATTCACTTATATATAGAATACTGAAGTTTGATAATGCGATTCTCTTTTACAGTGGGAAATTATATTCCTATTTCTCAAGTTCGAGATGATGTAGCAGCTGCATTTAGAAAGGAAATCGAATGGCAATCAACTGAAAAGCTTCTTCCTTACAAGAAGATGTGTACTCTAAAAATGGTGAAAATAGACTGCCGCATGAAAGACTGTAAGTTATGTAAAACTGAGTTAAGATGCTTATTTCCTGATTTCACGTGCAGGTGCAAGTGGAAATTATACAAATTGAGTCAGATGATGTGGTAACTGCAATATCACTGGAAATATCAAGATGCAAGATCAATAAGCTTGTTATAGGAGCTTCATCTCGTAGTATATTCTCAAGGTAATACTGTTAATTTTCTGTTTGAAATGACGTATAATCAGTTCTTAAAACATATTGTTGTAGTAGTTTCTTTCCTTGTCTAGATCAACCATGGAGATGAAGTAATGACCGGGTAGCAGAAAATGATCCCCTTTCATGGCTTCCAACATTGATTTTTTCATGCTGTATTTTATTCGTTTCGTTGTAATTTCTACATAAGTTTTAATTAATAACAATGTTTATTAGTCAGTCTCAATATGCAAGAAAGTGATGGCAGTTGAGAATTTATGTATGCCAAAAATGGAAAAAAAAAAAAAAGTTTTCATTCTGGGCAAAAATTTCTCAATTGAGTTCAAAAAATTGTTTCTTTTCCAGTTTTACATTTTTAATCTACAGCTTCATTGTTTTAATCACCTCTGATTACCCTTGCTGTGTCTCTGATGGAAAATCAATAATTTGATTAATAGGGCACAAACAATATCGTCAAAAATATCAGAAAGCTGTCCAAGTTTTTGCACAGTCTATGCTGTTTTAAAAGGAAAATTATCATCGTTGCGCCCATCAGATTCAGAAACAAACAGAAGCATTACAGATGACAGTAGCGACCTAAGTTCTTCAAATAATTCATCAAGCCGTACTTCAAGCTCACAAACAGGTGTCCAATTACTAAAGAGATGCTTTTTTCATTTTAATAGTTCTATAATTTGACTAGTCAATAACGCATTCTACTATAACATTGTTATCTGTGGAATGCGCACAGTTGCCTATAGTTGAAGTTGAATGTTGTTTCCGGGATGACGCACACTTATTTAGTCTCTCTCTCTCTCTCTCTCACACACACACACACATATTTTTATTTTTGAATTATCCACACTAAAGAGACAGAAATACATTGAATTCCTTTCTCTATTTTCAGAGTGGACAGACAACGGCTCAATCGGGTCACATGCTCATTTTCGTTCAGCTTCACTCCCAGTGCAGCGGTTTCAAGCTCTTTCAACCATAAACCAGAACCTGCTTCATAAAAGAATGCCTTCAAGTGGAATCAAGCATCCTAAAAATTTGTATCCTCATATTGAAGATGAGGATGATGGCTCAAGCTCCTGTCCTGATGGTGCTGATGTTAATGACACGAATACAGAAGCTTCTAGTTTTCAAAGCTTTGTAACAGATAATCCTTCGCTGAATCAATGTTCCACCTCTGATATTCCTACAGAAATTTCCAGGAAACAGGTAATCAGTAAGTATACAAAAGGATGCATTAACTTGGTTAAAGGCCAAAACTTAAAGCCAAAAATAATTCTGGGAAATGAAACATTCTGTATAGAGAAATCATGTGAACTTTGGCTCTGAAGTGAAAATTCATGCTAAATATGGAGACCACATTATTATATTCATGTGTTCATCACATGGGTTAACATTTGTTGAAGCTTGTTCCAAATTGATAACTACAACCTCCCAAACTAGTCTGCATGCCTGGTGCCTCTTCATTCATTGCCAATTGGTTTTAATGTGGATGCTTTATCAACTTCCACTGCTAAGCTGATGTAGATAACAACAATTTCAGTGTTGGTATTTCATTTGAGTTTCAGTTACTAATATCAAAAGGCACATGGCAAAGAACAATAGCTGCATAGCCATTCTTTTCTCTGCTAGAATTGAAAAAGATGTAAAGCATTAGACCAATTTTCTTCCCATGTAAAACTAGTCCTGAAGAGTTTTAAATCTTATTCATGGGAGGTGGTTTTTGTGTCATTTCCTGCTAAAAATAACCTTGGCTTTAGAATCAAACTTTTCTGTGCTGCTACTAGCCTTGAAGATAGTTTGCCGTCCTCATTGGGTGAATTTGAGTCAGAAATCATCTATATATGGAAGAATTGAGCTACGCTGAACACTTACTCTGGAGTTATGTCTTCACAGACATTGCTATTTGTGCATTAACTGGTTGCCTCACTTTATGTCTACTAGTCTCTATTTTTCAGTAAATGTCGTATCTCATCTCTGAATAAGTTCTCCAAAGTCAACTGCAGTCTTAATTTTTATTTTTTTTTGCAGGACAATGTCAATTTTGAGCTAGAAAAATTGAGAACTGAACTCAGACATGTTAGAGGAATGTATGCAATGGCCCAAAGCGAGGCGATTGATGCTTCAAGGAAGGTATTCTTAGTCAATTTGTATTTATTATTCCATTTTATGTAATTTGATAATAAATCTTTTGAAAGATTATCTGGATAATTGTTCTACATCACTTTCCTCCTATCTCATCAAGGATTTCTAAATTGACCTCAGTTTACTAATATATATAGAAATTATGTGGTAAAAGCTGTCGGTAATACATTTACAACTCTTTTTCGCGATGTTTCCAACAGAAGAATTCTCATTTTGTTGCTTTTGATCAGCTAAATGATCTTCAGAAGCGACGTTTGGAGGAAGGAATTAAGTTGAAGCAGATAAGCTTTAAGGAGGAGAAAGCCAAAGATCTAGCGAGATGGGAGAAAGAGAAATATGAAGCTGCAAAGAGAGAAGCTGATTATGTGAAGGAATGTGCTGAAAGAGAAGCCGCAGAAAGAAAAGAAGCTGAGATTAGAGCTTCACGTGAAGCCAAAGAAAAGGAAAAGCTTGAAAATGCCTTGACTGGCTCTTTGCATCAGTACCAGAAATTCACATGGGAGGAAATTATATCTGCTACCTCATCGTTTTCTGAGAACCTTAAAATTGGAATGGGAGCATACGGAACGGTCTATAAATGCAGTTTTCTTCATACAACTGCTGCTGCAAAAGTCCTCCATTCTAAAGAAGCTAGTAGAACTAAGCAATTTCAGCAGGAGGTATGTGGACTACATTGACAAGAATAAGAATACCGATGTAGGAGCTTTCTTTAGTTTTTAAAATACCGACGTTCTTTAGTCATTTTTCCTTCAGCAAATTAGTTGCAAAATCAGTAATATGACCTAATTCAGATTTACAAAGGTCTGACATCATATTTTTCTGATTAATAGCTTGAAATATTAAGCAAAATTCGTCATCCACACTTGCTGATTCTTCTGGGTGCATGTCCTGAACGTGGTTGCCTGGTATACGAGTTCATGGAAAATGGGAGCCTCGAGGACAGGCTTCTGAAGAAAAATAACACACCTCCACTTTCATGGTTCCAGAGGTATAGAATTGCATGGGAAGTAGCTTCAGCCCTTGTCTTCCTGCACAACTCAAAGCCAAAACCAATCATCCATCGTGATCTAAAACCATCAAACATATTGCTTGATCGGAACAATGTGAGTAAAATTGGCGATGTTGGCCTTTCCACAGTGCTTCACTCAGACTCTTCTTCTGCCACTTACAAGGACACAGCATTGGTGGGGACACTTTGCTATATCGATCCCGAGTACCAACGGACAGGATTAGTGTCTCCCAAGTCTGATGTTTATGCTTTTGGGATGGTTATTTTGCAATTACTGACGGCGAAACCAGCAATAGCACTCGCTCATCTTGTAGAAATTGCGATGGATGAAGATCGTTTAACGGAGGTACTTGATCCAGAAGCTGGTGGATGGCCAGTTAAAGAAACTAAGGATTTGGCTCATATGGCATTAAGATGCACTGAACTTCGACGAGGGGATAGGCCCGATTTGCGAGATCAAGTTCTCCCTCTTTTGGAGAAGTTGAAAGAAGTGTCTGACAGCGCTCGAGATATGGCATTAGTAGCAAAACCGCCCCCTCCTAACCATTTCATATGCCCTATTCTCAAGGTATGCCTGTATTTTTTTCTTACTATTCAGTGATTATTTGAGCTTCTTACATTTTATCTTGATAAGTCATGTTAATCTCTAAATTTCTGTTAAGATGATTATTAGTTTCTTCACTCAAGTAAATTAAATACTGTGACAATGCAAACCCTTTATTTATTTATCTTTACCGGAAATTTCACTCCTCTAACAAGGACAAACTACTTACACACCTCGGTGACATGTCTAGTTTTGAATATGGAGGCACCAATCTTCTCCAACACCCAATATTGACACCAATGGAAAAAAAAAAAAGCATTTTTATGACACTTTCTGACTTCAATTTTCGTCTGTTAATAAAAGCCAGTTTTTTGTTTCAGGAAGTAATGAGGGACCCTTGTGTTGCTGCGGACGGGTATTCTTATGACCGGAAGGCGATAGAGGCATGGCTCGAAGAGAATGGAAAATCACCAATGACAAACTTGCCATTACCTCATAATAACCTAATACCAAATTACACCCTTCTTTCTGCCATTATGGAATGGAAGTCCGGGAAAGATTGACATCACTCTATCCATTATCAATTTGCCAGACTGTTGTATATGCAGTTTTTAGAAAGTTAGGTTCTTTTACAAAATTGTGATTCATACAGAAGTAGAATTGTAGAGAAAACATCTAGCTTTATAAGGTTTAATCTCATTCATAGCTGTTGCCAATATTCATCTACATCTGAGTATTTCACTGTAACTTTTAAATGTTTTATTGTGGGAGCGATTACATATGGCTTCGTCTATACGGATTTCCTGCTTCCTCTCAACGGACATTTCTACTACACCGTAGTGGCCCGTTGTGGCGGTCGTGGAAGATTAATATATATTAGGAGCTCATGACTATTGTCTTTATGATCAATTCTAAAACAGTAATAACAAACTAAGCTTTATTTTCAAGAAATTTGAGGTCTCCATAAATACTTTTTCGCTATTTTGTTCAGTTAATAATTACATCTACTAAAAGATACAATGCAACTGGATATATAATATCCTAACATGAATTGTTGGTTTTGCGATTGCACTACTTATGAATTCGACACTAGCAAACTACAGATCGATGGGCAAGTTACTATAAAGGCAGATGCTAAAGAATCAGCGACACAATGTATGCTATATAAATACTTTTGTACATGCGCGCTGTGTAGTTTCCCAATAATCGAGTACTTTTATACAAGCAAATTGTTGATAAAATTTCACAGTAAAACGTTGGTATACACGTTCTTTAACAGATTTTGTTTTAACATTGCAAATGTTAGGATTTGTATAGTTCTATTCATTTGCTGTCTTCAACATCTCCATCAGCAGAAGGTATGATAACACATCAGTGTAGAAAGCATGGTTAATATTCTATTTGATTTCATTAGGCAATAGTAAAATAGGAATGTAGGTATATTTAGTTTTGCAAATTATAGTTTCACTGCAAGAAAAATCACTTTTAAACAACTCAAATTATGTCGTAAAATGATATTGCTTGGTCGTTGGAAGTTATCCCGGTCACATTTTTGAATACTAACATAAGCTTCTTCTTCTTTTTCTTTTTTTGAACTTTCAGCTAGAAATTTTGAGCAAAATCCATCACTCCCATTGGCTAACACTTCTTGGAGCATGTCCTGATTATGGTTGCCTGGTATTGTTTGTGTACAATAAAAATGATAGCATGGAGGAGTGCATATTTAGAAAAAAACAACACACTTCCAATTCCATGGTTTTAGAGGCATCTGTGAAAATGATTGATGATAAAGATAATTGCTCAATTTGAGAGAGAGGAGAACATTGCTGCTAAGTAGGAACGATAATTGCATCCTACAGTTAATTTATTTCAATAGTGTGCAGTACTATCCAGTTTGGACAGTTTTTGATACATTTCAAACAAATTAAAACATAAATAAATTGGTTTTAAATTCTCGATAAAAGCACAATGCAAAACTAAAAATATGAAATTCAACTAACAAACAAAAAATAAAAGCAACAGCAGCATTAGCAATTCATTGCTTAGATGTTCAAAGAAAACAGCAATAAGCAAATAACAGCAACAAACACAATACATTAGTGTTAGGAATTTACAGCAATGCAGACATCAAATTCACAGCATAACAGAATTCATAAGGCTTATTTTAACCAATGAGAGTTCAATACCCAATCTCATAACCAACAAACAATAATGTAATCCAAACTACTAAATAATCACAGCATTCGGTAGCTCAAACCAGTATACAGAAATCATCAGAATGTACATGAACTATAGAAACCGAAAGCCAGAACATTAAATGTATAGAAACAAGAATAAAAGTTTAGAGTTTCACTTCCCTTTTACGGTGGTTCATTTCGGCCGAATGCTAGGCTCAGGAACAGCTTCCATGCTATGCAAAAACGCCCTCCAGAGAGAGTTTAGAACCAACAAATGTCTCCAACAACTTAGCTAAGGTCATCGATTCAAAGGAATCTACCAAAGCAGCCAAGAACCCCTAAATCTCAACCATGTTCCAGGTCTGAGCATTACACAGGTATTTCCCTCAAGAATAGGTTACCAAGGTCAATTTAGGGTGAAGCAAGGGGACGAGTATGGCTGTCGACAGAGAGCAGAAGAACCCTCAGCTTCGAAGAGAGAACGAGAGAACAAGAAGAATGATCCAATAGTCAAAGCCCAAATAAAATATCAAAAGAGGAATTAATCCCTAACCGTAGATCTAAATCAAGGGCCACAAATAATCCTCAACAAGCACACGATTCGGGTCACACCTAAGCTACCAGTAGGTGAGTGACACCTAAGCAACATTAGGTATGTGTAATGAACCGTCCCAACTAAGTTAGGAGAACCACTTAAGCCCAATAAGCCCACATTCTTCACCTTGGTTCTCGTAACTCACTCTCTCGGTTGCGAATTTGCACATGGAAGAACTGTTCATCATCATCGCCCACTACCTGCAAGAAAAATTAACCATTATCAATATTCAGCAACGATAAACATAATTTAAATTTAACTGCAGGCAGAATTTTTGTTCCCACATCAGAGGGATTCCTATCAGTGTGAATCTTAACAAGTTCGACTTTACCTTGAGAAAGCTT